TTGTATCTACATAGTTTAGAAAATGTTGCTTATTAATTAGACTAGGACCTTGGGAGGGTCAGTGTGCCCTTATGTGCCTTGTTTTCTTATTTGTAAAATGAGGGGGTCAATAACTTGTGGATTTTAGACTTGGGAAGTGCTTCAGAGATTGTCTCAGTCTCACATTCTCTCCAGGATCCATAGCAGGACACTTACTACATCCCTGTAGTTTTTGGTCCCACTTGGAGTAGCCACATGATGAAATGTCCTCCTCCTTCACTGTATGCACCTGTGTACATGTACATGAATGTCTTAATCCGTTTCAGACTTCCTTTGTGATTATTTTCCCGTTTTGTCTTGTTTCCTTGCCTCTGCTGTATCCTCACTCAGTCATGCCTTTTTCCCTCTCCTGTGTTGTCTTCATTTATATTACATAACTTTATTTTATTTTATCTACTTTTTTGAGACAGTTTCACTTTGTCACCCTCAGAGTGCTATGGTGTCAGAGCTTACAGCAACCTCAAGCTCTTAGGGACAAGCAGTTCTCTTACTTCAGCCTCCTAAGTAGCTGAGACTACAGGTGCCTGCCACAACGCCTGACTCTTTTTTTTAATTTTTAGTAGAGACCTTGGTCTCGCTCTTCCTTGATCTGAACTCCTGGTCTTGAACTGGTCTTGAACTCCTGAGCTCATGCAGTCCACTCGCCTCAGCATCCCAGAGTGCTAGGATTACAGTCATGAGCCACTATGCCTGGCTTATATAACTTCAGATTGTTAGCTGAAAAACCTCTTTCATACAGGAAAACAGTCACTTGTGAGGAGAAATTTTCATTGTCTTCCTCTGCTCAAGAGGAGATAATTCTTTCCTGTTAGTATTAAACTCCAGAGAAATAATTATTTTTAAATAGAATTTGGATGTTTCTGTAGTTTCTTCAAACTATATATTGATTCTAAATCTTTTTATCTCTTATTCACTTTGATAACAGTTTTTTATGGTGATGTGTATCGTGTATGTCCTGTTTGGTGTTCTGTGGCTGGCGTGGTCTGCCTGCTACTGGAGAGATCTCCTGAGAATTCAGTTTTGGATTGGTGCCGTCATCTTCCTGGGAATGCTTGAGAAGGCTGTCTTCTATGCAGAATTTCAGAATATTCGGTACAAAGGAGAATCTGGTGTGTAACCAAAAAATGTTTGCCAGTTTGAGTGATTGGCAAAAGAGACGTGAAAATTTTGCTAATGTCAGCAATCATTAAATGAGTCTTACTTTCCAGTTACTTACTAGGTTAACTTAAGCAAAATCACTATGATTATGACTTTTATTTCTAATCTCATAATTTATGGGTTCAGTGGTGTGAGTAATTTTACTGAAATATCCTCACAAAGGTTATGAGTAGACTGTGCTGGGTATGATTATCACCAAATCTCAACTGCCTTTGATTTCTAAGTCACTGTTACAATATATAACTAAGAAAGAAGGAAAGCAGTGCCAATTTAATTACAAGATGGCATTGACTGTAAGACACACCTTATTTAGAAGATGCTAAAATGATGGGTAAAATGCATCTAAGAATTTATATTAGTATTATCAAGAAAAAAGGGTACTTAACAGTTTAATAAAGTGAACTGGTAATAACAAATTAGTTTGTACTGAATTTTCTGTAATCATTTCTCTCTTATCAGAACACGTGATTAGTAATAATTGTTGCAAGATATACTTATTTGATCTTTGACAAGTCTTAAAAATAGATATAAAAATGAATTTAAAATTACATGCACCTACATGTGTATACATGAGTGTATTTTTTACTTTTGTGTAGCTATATTTCATAGTTTTTGAAAAGGGGGGGGGTTTTCCTTGATGCTACAAGCTGTCCAGATAGATCGGGTGAGGTATTTTGTTAAGGTTTTAGTGAAGTTGGGGGTAGGCTGGAGAGAGATCTGAGTTGAGCACCCCCAGATTGCCATATATACCCATTACTAAGATTGTAAGTGGTATCATCTTGTGTAAAAATTGCAAAAGAGTTACTCTGTTTTAGTAAACCTTATTCTGAAGAGTTGTCAGAGATCTATGTTCTGGAACAGGAATCAGGCCTGTTGCCTAATCTAGATAATTGTGTAATTTCTTCCTTTCTTCTCCCTCTCTTCTTTCTCAAGTCCAAGGTGCCTTGATCCTTGCAGAACTACTTTCAGCAGTGAAACGCTCACTGGCTCGAACACTGGTCATAATAGTCAGTCTGGGATATGGCATAGTCAAGTAAGTATTCACTTCCGATGTGGAAGAGCAAATTAAAATACTAATGAAATGGAAACAACATTGCAAGTTCCCATGTGGTAGTACTAAATAGTTGATAAAAAAAAATTCTGAAATAAGAAAAAGTATCTGAAATTCTGTAGTGTTGTTAATGTTGGCAAAATGTTAATGTTTCATTTCACTTCTTACAAGGAGCAGCTGCAAGAAAACCTGCAGTGTAGCAGTGACATTGAAACACCAAACTTAAATTTATAATTACTTTATTCTTCTAAAATATTTTTGCAAATCAGATTTTTTATGGGAAGAGCATTCTTGTACTCTCTGAAAAATATGTTTTTTGTTGAGTATCTTCTGTAGATATTCTTTTATGCCCTAGGGATACAGCAAGTTTACATTTGTGGAGGGAAGGAGCAGAGACAAAATTTAAATAAGTGAGTAAAATATTTAATATGTTAGAGAAAGGAGCAATGGAGTAGATAATTTAGGGAAAGGGTACAGAGAGTGCTAGGCAGGAGCTGGGGCTTGCAGTTGTAAATAGGGTGATCAAGGAAGGCTTCAGTTCACTTACTGACATTTAATCGAAGACCTGAAAGAGATAAAAGAACTTTGTGTATACTCAGGGGAAGAGAGGCTGAGATGAGTGTGGAAAGTTCACAGGAGCTCTGAGGGTTGAGAAGAGATTTTTCTAGACAAAGATTAGGATATAAAAGTATAAAACTTATTTTATCTTCTTAGAAGGAGAGAGAGAGTGAAAGAGGAGGGGAGAGAGAGAGAAAAGAGAACAGGGAGACAGCAGGGCATCCCAAAGAAAGGAAAAATGCCAACAACCGAGGCCAGGGGCTTGTAGTATTGATGGAGACAAAGAAGAAACTAGTGATTGTAGTCAAATTAACAGGGTACTGTGAACACTGTATCCATTTTTTTTTCCTCTGGCAGGATAATAAGCAGTTGCCTTTTCTGGAGGCAGACTTATAATAGGTCTTTCTGATCCTGTTAGTGATTCTGCCCTTGAGATAAGATTTTGGGCAGAGTCCGAGGCCTGACACTTGCCTCTTATTAAGGCTATATAACAGATTCTAAACTACAGTGAGCTGGTGAATGTAAAGAGAAAGATTTACATTTTTTGTAATCAATTACAAAAATTAAGATTTACATTTAGATTTCCTTTTTGTCTGCTGGGCTCCTCTTAGATGTGAAAATGGAGCTCCAGATGCTGCCAGCTAGAGAGAGAGAAAGAGAGAGAGAGTGCGAGCATGAGCCAGTGAGCATGGAGAGAAATTGATTTTTGCCCTCCCTGAAAAGCTTGAGTTAATAATTTTTCTTTTATTTTGGTATGAAGACTAACCATCCTATCAGTGAGATCAGATTCTGTGTATATTTTGAAGGTAGAACCAGTGGAATTTGCTGATGGATCAAATGTGTGATGTGAAAGAAGAGTCAAGGATGATGCCTGCTGTTTTGATCAGATCAAGTAGCAGGATGGAACTGATATGTACTGAGTTTAGGAAGACCTTAGATGATGTAAGTTTGGAGTTCAGTTGGATATCCAGGTGGGGAAAACAAAAGGAAGAGGTTGGGGCAGAGATGAAAGTTTGGGAGTCATTGAGACGCAGATGTTACTGAGTTAAGAGACAGGGTGTGATCACTAAGGAAGTGAGGATATACAGAGAAAAGTACTGAGGACTGGGCCCTTGAACATTTTCTGTTCTTTTCATGTCTATGGCATGGAGTAGAGTTAGCAGAGGAAATTAAGGAATGACCAGTGAGTTGGGAGGCTAACTGAAGACTGTGAGTCAAGGAAGGAGTAATTAATTGTATCAAATGATCCTGATAGGTCTAGTAAGAGGATTGAAAAATGACTGCTTGGAAGGTCTTAGTTACCATAACAAGAACAGTTTTTGTGACGTGGTAGGGACAAAAGCCCTATTGGCAGAGCTCAAGAGAGAGCAGGAGGAAGGGAATGGAGTTAGGCAGTTACATAGACTGTTATTTTAGGGAGTTTTGCTCTAAGTGAGGTTAAATGGTGGGGGGTTAATTTTTTTTTATAAATTTATTCATTTAAAGTAGTTCTTTGCTTTAAATGAGATTAGAGGAAGGAGTTTTAATTCTTAGTATTTATTTAAAAAATATTTGGATGCCTTCTATATGTCAGGAAACATTCTAAGTTTCTGAGATGGGGGAGGGAAGATTCTTTGCTCATATGGAGCTTTTCCTGGTGTATAGCAAAAAATCTAAGAACAAATATTGGTAAGGATTAGACATGATTTGAGGCAGTGCATCTCAAAGTGTACAAGTATAAAGAATCATGTAGGGATTTTGTGAAAATGGAGATGAAAATGAAGTCTAGCAGGATTTTGAATATCAAGGATCTGAGGCGCTCCTTCTTCAAGCAGAGGTTGCTCAAAAGACATTGAGCTTATAGATATGTTGTTTGTTTAATAAACTGTGATAGGATATTGCTTTTTGAGAAATTGTTAAAATTCTTAGGTTAATAATGATACTGTGGTTATTTTTAAGTCCACGTTGTGGCTATTGAAATACAAAGAAAAAAGTCCTCATCTGTTAAAGACATAAAAACATGCTGTTTAGGATTTGCTTCAAGATAATGTGAAAGGATGAGAAGAGGATGGTGCTATACAGTGGGAAGAATTAGCCACATGTTGATGATTGTTGAGACTGGGTGATGGGTCTATTGGGGTTTATTCTATTACTTTTGAATATGTTTCAAAATTCTACATAATGAAGTTTTTAAACTGTGATAACTAGGGACCAGATCTTAAGTTCTAGTATTCCCTGTCCTGTTTTAAGGCCATTATTTACTTATTTATTTATTTATTTCGCAGTTTTTGGCCTGGGCTGGGTTTGAACCCGCCACCTCCGGTATATGGGGCTGGCACCCTACTCCTTTGAGCCACAGGTGCTGCCCCATTATTACTTTTTTTTTTTTGAGAGAGAGCATTGCACTTTGTTACCCTTGGTAGAGAGCTGTGGCATCATAACTCACAGCAGTCTCAAACTCCTGGGCTCAAGAGATTCTCTTGCCTCAGCCTTCTGAGTAGCTGGGACTACAGGCCCCCACTACAACACCCAGCTATTTTTTAGAGACGGGGTCTTGCTCTTGCCCAGGCTTAAGAGTTTTTCCTCAGGTGAATCATATGTATATTGCTTATCACTTTAAATTGTTGGCCTGTATTAATTAACATGCATTGCTGTTACTTAGCTTGCACATGTATTGGAGTTTGTCAAGTTTATACTCAACTGTCTCTTCCTCTTTAGGCCACGCCTAGGAGTCACCCTTCACAAGGTTGTGGTAGCAGGAGCCCTCTATCTTTTGTTCTCTGGCATGGAAGGAGTCCTCAGAGTTACTGGGGTTAGTACTACTTAATCTGAATTTTTATGGTCAGTTCATTTACATTGTTTCTGTCTTGAGAGTGTGAATTGGAAATGTCTGTGGACTTCTTTACTGTTTGCCCTGATCACCTTGGGGTTCTCAGTTTCAGAATGAACGTATAGTTCAGTTTTTCTTTTTGATCTGTTAGAATTTTATAAATTTAATGTGTGACCCAAAATGAATGCTTTTCTACCTGTCCCCAGATTGCTAATTATTTAGTTCCCCCTTCCAAGCAGGGGGCTGTCATTCTTGTGTGAGTGCAAACATTGGAATCATGTACTTACTGGTTAATCTGATCTTAGGTAACAATGCCCTTTGCTTAACCGACACTTGAATTTCAGAGACTTCTATAAAGTGCAACTTACTCATTTTCACACCATTCTTGAGAATTGCATAATTATTCCCTTTGCCAGGAAAGGAAACTAAAAGTCCTGAAATGAAAGTGATGAAGAAATTTATGTATATCTGAATTAATGTGAAGAAGTAGGCCTCCCTAGGCCATTCAAATTAATTTTCTTATTTATTTAAAAATCAGATTATTTAATAACCTATTAGAGTCAAGGTGGTAAATGCTATAAGTTTGGTCTTGCCCTCAAGAAATCTGGACTCAGTTAACTTTCATAATAAATTGCCTCTTAAATGGCTCAGTGCCTGTGGCTCAAGTGGCTAAGGTGCAAGCCACATACACCTAAGGTGGCAGGTTCAAATC